CAAAAATATGTTATAGTGATTGGGTGTAGTATTTTTTCATTGCTCATCTGTAGCAAAATTTTTCAATGCAATCGTTTTATATTTTATAGAGTCAGGACAAGTTCTGTAGACACATCTGCTGCTGCTGGTTTCAAGTCCACACCCGCATTTGAGGAAATTCAAAAACAAATTGAAAAGGTAATTTTTTCAGAGGTATAAATTGAGGCCGGAATAGTATTTTGGGATTTTTGAAAATCAGATATATTGTACATAATGTCAGTTTCTTTATGTTTTGTTGAATTGCTTGCTAAACTATGACTGTAAACCTTTTTAAAATCCAGGACGGCGGTGCAAATGCTAAGAAGCTGAATGGAATTCTTGCATTCAAAGTTATAAAAGGTCCTGGTGGAAAAGAAGTTATTTGGACGGTAGATGGAAAAGCAGCTAAAGGAAGTTTGGAATTAAATTCAGGCAGTAAGTGATTGTTCTATACTGCCTCTAAAGCTAATTGTAAATCATCTCATGACGTTTTTGATAAAATATAAAGATTGGCTTATCTATCACCCATGCGTAATGTACAGTAGTAACTTGCTTTTTTATGGTAATTATTGAATGATTTTTTTCTGAGATAAAGTTCATATTTTAAACCTAGAACACTGTATTTAGCACAGGTCGCGTATGCCCAAAACTGTGTTGAGTGTCGAGTCAGTGCTTTTGTTTGGCATGGTTACCAATAGCCATGGTCCCATGGATAAATATACTTTTCCAATTCTGTTCTGATCGTATTATATTGATTTTTATCAGAAAAGGCAGAATGCACTATGACCATAAGTGATGCAGATCTTTTTGATTTGATGTCTGGGAAATTGAACCCGAATACGGTATGTATACCATTACAATAAAATTGAAATTGAATCTTCAACCAGTTGCTGGTGTTTAGGGAATTTGGTATTTATCTCATTACAATAAATAATTGAGAATGAATTTTTAAACAGTCTCGTGTTGTTAGGGAATGCCAAGCCATAGTCTTGTTCCTAGAAATAAACAAGTTCTCATTTAATCTCGAATAACTTTTGTGAAGGAGTATCATTACAATAAAATTGAAATTGAATCTTCAACCAGTTGCTGGTGTTTAGGGAATTTGGTATTTATCTCATTACAATAAATAATTGAGAATGAATTTTTAAACAGTCTCGTGTTGTTAGGGAATGCCAAGCCATAGTCTTGTTCCTAGAAATAAACAAGTTCTCATTTAATCTCGAATAACTTTTGTGAAGGAGTATCATTACAATAAAATTGAAATTGAATCTTCAACCAGTTGCTGGTGTTTAGGGAATTTGGTATTTATCTCATTACAATAAATAATTGAGAATGAATTTTTAAACAGTCTCGTGTTGTTAGGGAATGCCAAGCCATAGTCTTGTTCCTAGAAATAAACAAGTTCTCATTTAATCTCGAATAACTTTTGTGAAGGAGTATACACTGGATAAATTAAAATTCTCTGATGGCTTCTTTTTATATCTTCTCACCGGTTTTGCGGATGAATGCATAATGGATGAATAGGCTGTCTGAAAAGCATGAGCAACCACTGTTCTTAACTTATCAATTAGTTAGTTTCTTCATTAAATGATAGTTGTGTTGTCTTTTGAGTTTTTTAAAAGACTAAATATGTTTCATTATGGAAGTGTATAATTCTTTGTTTTAACTTCAGGCATTCTTCAGTGGAAAGTTGAAAGTTTCTGGCAACATGGGCTTAGCAATGCGAGTGCAGAATATCATGCCTGCCAAACCAAAACTTTAGTAAAATGTATGAATATCATTTTAATATTACTTATCCTACTTTGAACTGATAGAATTTTTTGTTATGTTTATTATATTGTTTGGGGTTTTGGAATTTTGGATTCATACTACTACATTAGAATACTTGCAAACAACTTCGCTATTTAAAAAATGTGAAATATTTTTTTTTCAGAACATTTCCAGTTTCCAAGTCATCACTTCAAGAGTACTTACAAGCATAAAGTTATAATTATTTATCTCATTTTTGTGTAATTGTTATTTTGTGCATTTATGAATTTATAATATCATGTTTTACTTCTATGCATTTTGCAATTTAATTAAAAATAAAAAATAATCACCAAATGTGTTGTACATGCCAATCAACGAAGTTGATTTTTCAAATAAACTTAAAAATTTATTTGTCACAACTTATTTGTCACATTGCTTTGTGACTTCGTCTGATCAGAATCTATTCGTCTGTCATGTTATGTGATTGCTAAGTGATTAAGTAGTGGTCAAGTTTTTGATGCAAATTAGGGTTTGCAATCGGAACCAAAATTTGTTTTTATAACCGAAGTTTGGTCATCTCAAGCCGCATCCAAATATGTAATTTTTAATCGAGAGCTTATTTTTCGAATGACTTTCCGTCAGAGGTCAGGAAGTATCTGAAGTTGTTCGACATTGGCATGGCGCATCGTGCTGGGCGTCAGGAATACGCTCGCCATGACGCCTCTTAATTACCCTGGGCCTGCATCTGCATGAGTTCGAATCCCGTGGGGGAGAATTATGTGCGAGAGGATTGCTGGAATCCTAGAGGCATAGGGTGGTTCACGTAACCGCTGGTCTATTACGGCTCCCTTCACCATCAACCTCGTGTATCTGAAACAAATAACTGGCTATCCAACTCAATGCCCGACATGGACTGGTAACCCGACAATTGGCTGTGGTTCGCCATATAACTGAGCCGTTTTATCGGCTTTCCTGTCCCCCTGGGTAAATATGGAAATCCCATCATTCTTGACGGCACTATGGGGCGAAATTGCTTGCATGATCGTATTCGTGTTTGCCAATATGAAATTTTTTTAATTGGTCTGCTTGAAGTCTTCACGAAGAACATGACCTGCTGTATGCTAACCTGCGAGGCCAATCACATAGTTTGGGCTCGGCGGTGCATAACATAAGCTCGCCACCGTACTTCTGATTACCCTGCGTGTGTTCGAATCCTGTGAATGATAATTGTGTGCGAGAATGTGGCCCTCGATGCCGTAGGGCATGGGCGTGCAACCTTTATTACAGGAGGGCCAGATACAAATAACTGGGTGAAGCCGCGGGCCGCGCCTAGTGCATGTGCATCACGTTCTCTCTCAGCTGTCATCTTTTGCCACCTCCTCCGACCACTGTCCTTCCATTCTCCGCGGTCTTCGTTTAGTCTAGCCTAGTCAGTCAACGCCAAACGTAAACAAACATGACGTTCCTGGATTTTATTTGGTAGTGCTCTGTTCTTTCTTGTTTTCGTGTATTTGTTACGGGGTTTGACTATTATTATAATTTACACAAATTTGTGGGTTTTTTGGGGGCTTAGAACGGCATTAGGGGATTTACAAATAACTGGCTGGCTGATCCCATATACAACATGGACTGGCAACCGGACGAGAGGCCGTGGTTCGCCATATGATTAAGCCGTCTTGAATATCCGATTTTGCAATGAAATCGTGAACAATATATTTCGAAATCGACCGAAAACTGATTCTGAATTCATCATTGTCAAATTTCCCTAATCAGCAATCTTGGTACTTCCATTATTTTTCACATTTTATCGTGTTATCGCGTTATATATCTACTAAATTCTCTAGAATTAAAAGTAGAGGCGACAATAGTCGATGTGACAACAATGCATTCTTGTCAACGAGCAACTGTAGCCGCAAGTAATGCACTCCGCCTCGCAATCAGCTCGATCTTTTGCAGCAGTTCTTAACTTTTGCAGGTCTGCCAAACCCCGAATCGCTATTGTGCAAGCTCCCTTTTAATCTCATCAACGGTTGAAATTAGGAGCGCAAATAAAACGTCACAATAGAGAAGCAAATTTTGTGCATGGTTATAGAAAATGAACATTGTGGTATAACCTTTGATACCAATAGGTGCGTGGAAATAGTCATTGTTGTTTGTGTCAATTATTTCCTAAATTCAACCTGTTTCTAAAACTGAGCTACAATATATTAGTAGATTAGGAATGAGGTGCTGCGCACGCAATAACTTATAACCCCAAGGTTTGTCATAACAACCCAAGGTGATTTCAACGGTGACCGTACATTTGAACCCACGTACATTTGAACCCATGCGTATATCCACGGGTTCAATCTATATGCGGGTGCTAAAACCCATGGGTTAGGGTTAGTATGGGTTTAACTATCCGTGAAACAAAAAAAAATCCATAGATGCAATAGCATACAGATACAATTGTCATGGGTTCAAATGTACGTGGGTTCAAATGTAATGGAACCGATTTCAACCTATTTTGTATTCGGGGTCTCATATCTCAACGCAATGCATTGCTTGTCATATGTGATTTGATAATTACAAGTTTCTACTTACGTTAAAATTTTCTCAACCCATTAAACAATGTATCATAAGAGAATTTCAAATATTTAATCTATTGAAAAAGGAGGACATTTTGATCTTTAAGAGCGTCCTCGGAGGACATGAAATTTTTAACGAAAAAGGAGGACAAATCCTCCAAAAAGAGGACGTATGGTCACCCTACCGTTAACCATCTGAAATCGGTTAACCGATTAACCATTCCCAGCCCTACATGCATTCCTTGTTTACCTTGTAGGACACATGTGGTGATCATTAGTTTCTATTACCTGATGTTAGAAGTTAGAACACTGCAGAATACTACAATATTGCTTGGATCTTTTGTAGAAAGCCACTAATGCAAATATTTGATATTGGTGAAAAATACCCCCGTCACGTTTTAATTAATGACGAATTAGTAGTTATCCTCTTGGGGTTAAACATTCTGAATTTCCAGCGCAATCTGCATTGCTGGTATGTTAGTCGTTGTCCAAACTGAGTAATTACTGATTTTCCTATTTTGAGCGTTAGTGGGTGTATTTTTTTGGTGGGGGCTTTGTACAAAAGATCCTATTGCTTTATTGGATGAAAACCCAATAATAACTCAACTCAAAAATCATGAAAACTACTACTGTACTGTCTCAAACTGCCTATTTAGTGGGTGTGATGGGGGTGTGGCTTCATGATTCTGGACTTCGCACCCTCTCGGAATCGGTTCATGTTTGGTCGTGTTGAATCATTCGCTACGTTAACGGTTAACCAAGTGCTGAGAATTGCTGTATTGATTAATATTCTACATAACTTTTAAGTATCAGGCTATTACGTCGCTTCGCTGCTGCTACGATATTTCTATCTCGCACCAGTACCGTAAAAGCGCCTAACTTCGGACAAAATTACTATATTTTCGTCAATAACTCGGCCATTTATTGTCCAAACGATGCCAAAATTGCTCGGTAAAACATTCGTGCGGTAATTTACATTCCCTGCAAATTTCGGTTCAATTGGACTATTTTTACTATTGAAATAATCGATATTTCTTGCCATCTGACCGTTATCCTTCACTGCCCTAACTTCGGACAGTCATTTTCTTCACTGCGTAACCGCGACGCACAGAGAGAAAGAGGCTTCCGATGCGGATGACGTAATCACGTCGTTGCGTGAAGATAAGACGCTCGATCGTCGTCGTAACGTAACTTATCTTACGACGAAAATGCATTATTTGAAACTTCCGTCGTCCTATGTTCACATCTTTCGTTCGATACTTCAGATGAGTATAATAACACGTTAGTCATTTTAATCAGGAAATGCATACGTAAATATATCTGATGCAAACCGTTTCAATCCACAATGAAGTATTTTAACGGGCTTCTATCGAAGTCTTTGAAGTATTAATATTCTCGACGGATAGCTTTTTTTTATTCTGCGCGGTAATCTTCATAAATGATAATTTATATCAAACATACGGTAAATCCGATTGTAAAGTTTAATTTAAAATTCAACTTAATCTTGTAAACATGTAGGTCCCGTTTATTTGTTGGAGATTAAATTTATTTTTAATTTCGAGTGAATAAAATTCACCCAGGCCGTATTCAATAACTGTCATTTCGACTACTAATCATAAAATATTCGTTAAGTCAGTGCACTGTGCCATATGGACGTTGGAATTATCATAGTTTTATATATTCGATTTTTAACGTCATCGATTAAGTGTGACATGTATTTTCATTAATGTAATTTTGGCATATATTCATACATGACCGAACAAAATACAAAAATATTACATTGGAACGCCGTCTTTATCTTAACGGAAATTGTCATATTGGCTCCGTTGTGTCTGGCGTCAAAATTCATTTCCGCGACGCAGTGTGACGTCGTGTCGGAAGTGAGCGAAAAATAATCTACGTGAGGTTGACGTAATTTTTGACGCTGCGTGAAATCTTAATATTCTTACGGAATTTATAATTCAGAATTTTAGGTTTTATTTAAATCTCGTACGACATCTTGCGATCACTCAAATAAATTATATACATTGTTGTCGCCCTCTACCGAATGATGGTATTTTGACGATGATAGCTTCAGTAGGAGCGACGCTCTGCGCCGTTGAATGCCGGGCAGTCAATTTTTGGCAAAATTTCCGTTTTTCACCAAAAAAATAATTATGCAACATTAAAAAGATGAGAATAGATGTAGATATAACAGCGCAACCTGTAATAATTAAAATTAGCAATATACAGCGCGTTTTAGCCAAGATATGGCCGTTCAAAAATTTTGTCCGAAGTTAGGAACTGTCCGAAGTTAGGCGCTTTTACGGTATCACACGTAAGGTTAAAACGTGAAAAGTTTTGCAAGCTGATTGAGTTGAACTGGTATTATAATCACAAGAGTCCAAAATGATTGCCCAAGAAATCAGTGCGAGCCAAAGGTAAGTCCTGCTATGTAAAATATCCTAATATGTTATACATGTGTCATGATTAATCATTGGTCCTTGACTGCGTCTGCCCTGTCTGCCTGTGAAATTTCTGACCGTTGGAATGCTTCAGTGATTGGCAGATTCCCGGGCATTGCAGGTTTTCAGTCCTTGTATTCTACCCCTTCTGGCAGCCTGGAAATAAATATCTGGAACATTCATACTTTTGATTTTTAATCTTGACCATACAGGTATTGATATGTCCAATTTTTTTTTAAAACCATGTCCTGATGTCTGCTGTTAGGGCTGTAGGGTCAATAATCGGATTTATAACCAAATTGTTAGTTTTGCAGTTGTAGGCCTAGTTGACACGACAAATCTTGTGGTAACAAATTTTTTCATAATAACAAAAAAGGGTCTAGATCAGGGTGGTCCAAACCCAGGCCCGCCGCTTCATTATCTGTGGCCCGCGTCACATTCGGCATTTTGTGTTGTTTCGTCCCAAAATTAATCGGAAAAATCTTTTGACATATTGTCATCACTATTGTTACTGAATTAAATAGTGTCATGGATTGCTGGGGAAACTAGGGAAGTTGAATGATGTGCTTGGCGGTCTAAATTGTTATCTGGCTTAACTTTTTGGTCGGGAATATATGCAAACAATATAGGCATCATGGAAAACTAAAAATCAAATGCGGATTCTATTAGCCTAGAATGGCTATGCCTGATAACTATGTGTTTGCACAATGAAGGTGTTTGTTTTGTATTGCACTGTTTACCTATTCTTGGCACTATTGTGGCCTGCGAACAATGCAAAAACAATTTTGTGGCCCGCGGAGCCGACAACCTTGGACCACCCTTGTCTAGATAGATTACAAGAGAATGTTACCTTATTACACAAGGTTCCCTCTTTAACAGTGGCTGGCCCACGGTCTTTTACCTGTTTACAGAATCTGTTCTTTCATTTTGTATGCCGCGCCCATTTTTCTGTATATACATTCTAAAACTTCTAACACTATCATCATTGCAAACTATTTAGTATACCAAAAATTCAAACATTTGATTGGCAGTAAATGTCTTGTGGAGATGCCCCAAAAATTGAACCGTTTTGTTAAATACGGCTGTCAAATATACCCTCAAAGGTTATTCAGATGGTTGGCACAATATAGTTGGGTTCATAGGACCAGCCCTAGACCTGACATTTCTGATATTATTTCAGCCATCAACTGGTAATTCAACAAGTTTCATCATTTGAAGAAGCTAAAGATTTCAAGTCAACTGCTTTGTTTGAAGAAATGAAGAAGCAAGTAGAGAAGGTATCATATTCTTACAGTGCTCTATTGAGTATATATAATAAATTATATGAGGGAGATAATAATTTAATACTGTATGTTAATTAGGATGGAAAACAATATGTCAAAAAAGTGAATGGAATAATTGGATTTCGCGTGACAGGACCAGGAGGAAAACAAGTTTTATGGATTGTGGATGCAAAAAATGGAAACGGATCACTGGAGTTGAATTCTAGCAGTAAGAAATATATTGATAGTAACGGTTAGCCAAATATAGAAATCTTACAAGCTAGGTCTTTGTTGATGTGGGGTTGAACTCAACTTTACCTTAAAAAAAGCTTGATGGAATGAATTAGAGCCGTTGGGCTTTGGTTGTAATAATCTATATTTCTATTTCAGAAAAACCAGACTGCACAATTACTATGAAAGATGATGATTTAGTAGATTTAATGCTGGGAAAATTGAACCCTAATACGGTATGTTTATTGTGGTGGAGAAATATATTACTAAAAAAGTGTTTATCATACTATATCAACACTCTCATATTTTGTATTTAAGCTGAACAAAACGATTTTATCATATGTGTATGTGTTACTAATATCAATCCCAAGCAATTCTAGCTGTGTTACTAAGTCCAAAAACTATATACCCAGATTAAAACTGGGTTCTGGGAACGCTTCTGTTTCACTGCCTTTAGTGTCTAGAATTTACTAAACATGCAATTTGTTTTTTTCATAGGCATTCTTCGGAGGAAAATTAAAGATTGCTGGCAACATGGGGCTTGCTATGAAAATTCAAACTATAATGCCTGCAAAAGCAAAATTATGATTTTTTTGTAAGTTATTCGTATCTTTACCTATGCTGCCTATCAGCTGTCAGTCCAAAATGCTAATCTAGAAGATGACTAATACACGAAAAATCGCTAATAAAATTATGCTTTTGATAAAAATGCAGGAATCTTCAAACTTGCATAGAATGCCCATGCCTAATTAAGAACTCGTAGACTGTTAGCAGCACGAGTGCTGATTATAAGCTCTGACTAAGAGTATAGCATTCCACTATCTGGCAATCTTGATTACAAACACTTTTTTATCAATTGTGAAAATATTTGATACATTCTTATGAAGTACCACAGTCTTTCATTATTTAACGGATTTCAGTGGTTACCAAGCTTTTTCGTTAAGTTTGGAACTCTTTATTCCTCCCACACTTTACGTGGACCTCCTGAAGTATGTGCACCAGGTTAGGGTTCAGGTTATGCACGTTATCGGGAGCACCCTTTATTTTATTTATTCAATGTTATATGCAAATCGCACGCCTGATTTTACTCAGTTTGAATAGTTTATAATGTGTGCTATACATTAATAATAATAAAGAACTAAAGAATATTGGTAATATTATAGCAAACACAAAGCAAAATTCTTCCTTTGCTGTCACATTCTAGCACTATTGTTGTAAAAATAAATCTGTTTGGTAAGGCGTTTGTAAATGTATCACGTAGGATTAACACAAGCCAAACATTTCAGGTTATGAAGCTTATATTACAATTCATCATCATGTCATCGCTAACATAACAATTGAAGATGAGAGAAAACAATCTATAGCATCCATGTGTTCCAATATATTACTTCATCAGGGTACTATAATATTTGTACGAGTGGCAATAATAATTATATGCATTTTGTTAATTTTTATGTGATCCACTTCATAATATAACATCATGTTTCATATTTGTTTTATTGGATTTTGGTAGTACAATTTTGCAGTTGTGAAGATCAAAGTGTTGTTTCTAAATATTAATAAAAAGCGGTGAATTTTATTCTCTTTGGGAGTATTGGCTATATTTACCATTGGATAGTCCGTTTACTTTGTAAAGCGGGGAAGCTGTCGGCTTTGTATGAACTATGAACTCGGCCTCTGGTAATTGCAACAACGATCAAAGTTGTCTGCGAGCCTACAAATGCATAGCCTATTCACAACGTAGCTAGTTGCCTTTCAGCTTAATAGCGAGTTTATCTTCATAATTACACATAAAAAATTGGCATAAATGACCGCAAAATCATGGTTCCAAATGAAAGCACTTATTGGCAGGGATGGGTCCAGCAATCCTTACAACAATACCATGTCTGATTTAGTTTTGTAAATCATGTCACAAAGTTACCAAATGACCTCAGAACATCTGACTGTTGCACCAATGTGTAACCAACCGTTAAAGTGCATATTATCTCAACATTGACTTTTAAACCCTCATTTTTTCCAAAAAAAAAAAAAAAAACTATCTCCATGATTGAATTTGTATTGTAAAACAATGATCAATCGGATAAAAAAAGTCATGTGGTTGATGAAGGTTTAGAAATTGTACTATCTTTTTGGTGCAGAAAGTTGTCTGTTGGTTCCAGTCCATACCCATAAGTTGCATATGTTGCCGCTGAAGCAGCCACTGCGCCAGCTCTTGCACCTTTTAAAAAGAACAAGAATTATTATTAAGGTTCGGAGTAATGAAGTAACTCTACACCAGAGCAAGGACACAATTCATACTATAACACATATGGTTATCAAAGTAACCGCGAGCTATTCGCTTACTGACTTGGCTAATTTTTCAAATGTGGCAACAAGTCGGTATTTTAAATATGACATCCAAAAGTTCCAATAGATTATTTTTAATAATTTGTTGTGGAGCTCCAAAAATAATAGTCAACCTCTCCACAGGCTCCATAACACCAAATGTTGAGAAGCCTTGCTATAACACAGTGAAACGCAAATTATTGTGGCAGGAGTTCTTAACCTTTATTTTCAGAAGTAAAAGTTACCTCCACATGTATTTATATTTTCACTTCTACAAATAATGAAACCAGTTTATTTTGTTGTGTAATAAAAATGTGAATCTTTTTATTGCAAAATTTATTCCTGAGGCAGGCCAAATTCAACCTCATCCCTGTACTATGCATTTCGTGGTTCTTAGGACTCCTAATGCTTAAAAGTGTGCACTCCCTAGTAGTCTAATATAGACATACTGATTCCATATTTAATCTCAGAAGTATAAAATAGTTATATTACCTGCCATAGCAGCTGCACGGCCAGTGAATATCCTTTTTGCTCTACTTGCCCTTCGACTCCTAGTTCCTATTCGGGTGGTTGAAGAACGATTATAACTTCGCTTTGGTGCTTCTGGAATCAGCGGTCTGATCCGAGGCCTTCCTCTTGCCCTGCCAGAGCCACGACCACCTCTACCCCTAAATGATCTAACATTCGGTGTTCCTATATTGGCCGGTGAATCCAGATCATCAATAATGATGAGATCTTCATCTGGATAACGCTGATCACTATTTCCAGAAATTCCACTGGCCGGACTAGTTGGAGCAGAATCAAAAAATGAGCTGGATTTGGAATCCTCATCTGCAGGTGCTAAAGTTCCAGTTAAAAATTTACTCTCGAATAAGTTATTTGATGGTGAGTTCGACTCAGAGTGAGATATTGTTATATTACATGAAGGGTCAGTTACTCCTTGTTCTTGCATAAGCTTGATACGTTTTTCTTCTCTTTCAGCATTAGTTTTCCTCCCTCGTTTTTTGCCTTTGTAAGGTAATATATCTCCCCTGTTTTCGTCCCTCTTCATTTTCAACTTTTGCATGAGCTGTTCATCATCAAGAAGCAATGATACAACTTCTTTAGGCTTGAGAGCATCAGGCTTAAAACTACCTCCAGCAATAACCATTCTTTGAATAACATTTTTTTCTTCGGCACGCTGTAAAATTCTTTCATCCACTGTTCCTTGACACACAAGTCTGTATACAGTTACCTGCTTTGTTTGTCCAAGTCGATGAGCTCGATCCATAGCTTGCTGATCGACAGTTGGATTCCAATCACTATCATAAAATATCACAGTGTCTGCAGCAGTCAAGTTGATACCTAAACCACCCGCTCTGGTACTGAGAAGAAAGGCAAAAATATCTGAACGAGACTGAAAATCAGCAACCATATCTCTACGTTCAGAAATACGAGATGACCCATCAAGACGAATATATGTATGTCTACGATACCACATATATTCCTCTAATATATTGATCATTCTAGTCATTTGTGAGTAAATAAGAACTCGATGTCCTTCAGCTTTCAGTCGTCTTAGTAAAACATCCAATGCATAGAGTTTACCACTATCCATTACCAAGTATTCCTTTTCAGGTATATTGATGTTAGACCAACCAGCTGGTGGAGATAGTGCAACAAGACCAGATCCAGTGTTTGCATGCTTCCAGAATATTGTCTGTTTATTTGGGATATTAGGTGGCTGACTCAAGCTGTAAAACTCGATATTTTCCACAGATGGGCCATACAGCAATGGAGTCATCATATCCCCAAATGATGGCTGTGATAATTCAATACAAGCATTGGTATCACAGCAGTAGATATCTTGCACACCAACTGTAATTGCAGGGAAATATAAAGACATCAGAAGCTTCGGCATTGAGATGAATTGATGCCCTTGATAAACTGATTGCTGATTTTGATGGTCACTACTTCCATTTCTGCTTTGCAATTTTATAATTTTATTAACATGTGTATAACCATCCATGCAATATGTAGTGAAGACTAGTTTTCGAAAAGGTGATTCAGGGCAAAACCAATCCAAAAAATTTGTATCAATCAATAAAAAATCTTTTAAATTAAAATTGTTTTTTATGTCTTTTTCGTAATCATCTGGGGCATCCCGCAATAAATTATCAGAATGAAAAATATGCTTCAGATAGATAGATTTTTTGACAGTGAGCATATTTGCATCTAAAAGCCATCTAAATTTTGCGCTTGATCCCATTACTTTCCAGTACATTGTGTGTGATACGCACAGTAATCGCAAAAAAGAAAAGTCTGATGACCCATTCTGATAAAACAACGATTGCTGAATGTTGTGTGGGTGATGAATATTCAAGTCACAGTATAAAAGTTTCCTTCTTCCTGGAGAGATTCTTGACAATATTCCCTCTCTATAAATAAGTCTCGGTAAAAAATAGAAAGGAATCGGATCTGAATGCAAAGGGGAAGTGATTTCACGTCTTTCAAACAAATCTGGGTGATTGCAAACTTTTCTAAATTGCATTACAATATTCATGAGTGCTGTTCCTCCAGAGCTTACATAAGTATTTCCAGATGATTTTAAAATATCTTCTAATCTTATATTTTGTTTCACACCATTGTACAAACTTTGTTGTCGGGGAGTCAAGCTACAATGTACTCGAACCTCAATCTTTTCAGATAACTCATTTTCAACATCACGCTTTATGCGACGCAGCATAAAAGGTTTGAGAATCATGTGCAATCTAGAAAGCTGGGTTTCATCAATATTGGATTTATTTTCTATGTGGTTCTCAATGTCTTTTGAAAACCACTCATTGAACTCACTGTGGCTATCAAATAAGGAAGGCATAATAAAGTGCAATAAAGCCCACAGCTCAGCCATTGTATTTTGGATTGGTGTTCCTGTTAAAAGTAGTCTGTTCCTGCAATTAAAATCAAGCAATACTTTCCATCTTGCACTAGAGCTACTTTTTAGCGCTTGAGCCTCATCAAGTACCATATATTGCCATTTTATACGTTGGAAATATCTCACATCTGATATCACAAGTTGGTAGCTTGTCACCAGGATATGAAAGGGAGCAGAATTCCTTTCAGAATGGTATGATGATTTTTGATTCCAAAATTTACGCAATACCTTTCTATCATTAGGATTACCCCAGTATGGTAATACTTTAAACTCTGGGAAAAATTTTGTAAATTCCTGATGCCAATTATTAAGTGTAGATGCAGGTGCAACTACTAGAAACGGACCCCAAATATTGATTTTTTCTGCCAGATGTCCGAAAAATGCAATCGTTTGAACGGTTTTACCAAGGCCCATTTCATCTGCCAATATTCCGTTAATTCCTTGTTCGTATAGATTAACAAGCCAATTCATACCTTTGAGCTGATAGGATTTTAACAAACCTTTGAACAAAGAAGGCTGTTTGAGTTCCTCATTGGCAGAAATACTTGGGTTCATAAGGCTGTATGACTCAGAGAATTTATTTGTTTCACTTTCTACAGAATCAAAAGTTGAGGTTTGACTTTGTTGTTGTTCAATGGCTTTCTTAACATTTTTCATAGCCTTGTCTGAATAATAACTCCCATCATGATCGTCAAAGTCATGTTCGAATGAAGCATCTTCACTCACAGACACCTGACTATCATTATCGATATAATCTTTTTCAAGAGTGTTCAATATTGATTTAATGCGTTCATCATTCTCAATACCATCATGTGCTTTACCTAACTTTTTACTGATAAAATGGGCAAAAAGTTCAGTTTGTGATATTAAAAAATTTAATTTTCTTTGTTGCCTTTTCGCTTCTCGCATTTCCTCGTCAAGTTTAATTTGCTCCAAAGCATGCTTTTCAGCCTTTTTACGATGAACTTTCTCCACTTTGCTATATTTTTTCCAAAAAAGTTGCATTTCTCTTGTAATGCGCCGAGCTCTGCCCGATTTATCTTTAGATACTTTAAGAGATAGTGCAGCATTCGCTCTCTGCCTTTTCATGGATTCCCGTGAAACTCGTCTCAAAAGTGCAAGGTTATTACTACGCAGCTGCATTCTCACACGATACGCTTTTGGAATGTCCTTTTTTGCAATGAGCTTCCAATGTCGTTTCCTTATGGTGTCTATACTTGGCTGCTTTTTCTTTTTCGTTAAATCTGATTTACCCAGTAGCATCTGGGAATCTGGAGATTTGTAATCTGCGTCACAATATTCTTCTTTAATATTTGTAATCCTGCCTACATCATTAGATATTCCTGAAGTAATGGTCTGTTTTTGTTCTACTTTTGATTTCTTTTTCTTCTTTATTAAATGTTTTTTAAAATTCTTTCTGTGTGACGGCCACAGATCACGATTAGTTACATAATCAGAACTGTAGTATTTGTACTTTGCAAGTGCAGGTTCATTTTCCCATTTTATTTTCATTACCTTTTTTTTCCTATGAAGTTTCAGCATTTCTCTGTAGTCTTCCTCGGTGACATCATCTTCGTCATCGCTTGTTTCCTCTTCTTCAAATATATTTTTAATCCATGATCGAGAGGAATTAGTTTGCTTAAATCCATAAGGATTCGTGAACTTCTTGTCCAAATCTTTAATGTATAATTTATTCCTTTCACGCTCCTCTATTCGTGCTCTGAGCTGATCCAAATATTGTCTTTTTAATTCTGCTGCTTTTGCGATTTTGTTTAAAAGCTCTCCAACACCCAGAGCCCTTTTAATACCTTGCACATACACAGACTCAGCCATTCCATTTTGCAAAAACTGTTTTCCCTCATGTTGAGTTGCATCAAGAGATGATTCCATTATCTCGGTACAGCAGTATCATCAATACGGTACCTGTACCGGAGTCTACTAACAGACTAAGGAGTTACATCATCAATATAAAAACTCATGCTACATAAAAAAATACAAAACAGTTGAAAAGTAGAGCCATTACACAGTTACGGACACGGTACAGTACTGCACTACGATATGGTATGATACGGACATGGTGGGATTCAAACTTTATGTCAAAGGTTCCATCACAAAAGTCATATTTTTCGACCGGTTCTGTTACACAGTTACATGTTTTTTTTAGTAATGCAATGCTAACCGGTTCGCTAAACTCATGAAATTCAGGGGAACGGTTCCATAGAACCGGCTGAATCCCCCCACTGGATACGAACCCGACTATAAAGGTAGGTACGGTATCACATGTACTGTATCCTGTGTATCAGTCACTTAAAAGGTAGTTCAGTAGGTATAAAAACTGGAGAGGTACCGTACCGTAGGTATCAGTAGTAGCTACCTAGATGACTAAAAGGCTAGGGTTACATGGGTTAAGGTATCATTAAGTTACTGCTGTACTGACAGACTGATAGTAGGCCTAACCCTACCTTTATTAGTCATCTACTAGATCTACCGGTACTGATACCTATCACTTTAGTCAATGATACCTGTGATACCTACCTTTTTTTACCACTGTGAATCGAGAGGAATTTCAGCGGAAAAATATTCTGCAGTTTTCAACCGGTTCCCATGCGGAAAATATTCTCTTATTACAATATTTATAAGGGATAAATGGATCCTATTTGAAATAATATGTTCCGAAGGAAACAACTCAGACCAAAATATAGGTTTAAGCACATTTAGCTGGTAGTGGTAATTACAACATACATAACTGTATATATTACATAAAACTAAAACGTATTAAAATATATTTGCAGAATGAAAAAAAATACAAAATAAAAATAGTCTTCAGTTGTTGGGAACACAAAAATATCGGAAAATATTTTTTTCAATGTTACATGCAAACTCTAGGGTTCGAGACCAAATGCGAATATGATCCGCAAAGTTCCGACAATTTTTAACAGTAATTTTGAATAGTACCAATATTGATAAGTATTATATATAAAAGTTGAAGGGAACAAAGCGGGACTTTATGATTTATGGGGTTTCAAATACAGGCCAAAAACAAGATTTTCTGAAATTTGATGCGTACTCGGTATATCGGGCCGAATTCGAATATGTTGCTTTATATGCCGACAACTTTCGGCAACGATTTTGATCACATGTACAAGTCAAGTGTCTAACACCAAAGTATGATTACCAGCGGAACAAAACTTAACAAAATATGGCCCTTCAAAAATTGACAAAAAATCAGATTTTGCTATATTTCGTACGAACTCAATGATTCGATGCCGAATTCGAATATGATCCGCAAAGTGCCGACAACTTTTCACAGTAATTTTGAATAGTACCAATAGTGACAAGTATTATATATAAAAGTTGAGGGGAACAAAGCGGGACTTTATGATTATTGGGGCTTCAAATACAGGCCAAAAACAAGATTTTCTGAAATTTGATGCGTACTCGACATATCGATATCGAATATGATCCGCAAAGTGCCGACAACTTTTAACAGTAATTTTGAATAGTACAAATAGTGAAAAGTATTATATATAAAAGTTGAAGGGAGCAAAGCGGGACTTTATGATTTATGGGGCTTCAAATACAGGCCAAAAACAAGATTTTCTGAAATTTGATGCGTACTCGGTATATCGAGGCCAAATTCGAACATGTTGCTTTATTTGCCGACAACTTTTGACAACGATTTCGATGACATGAACAAGTCAAGTGTCTAACACCAAAGTATGATCAACAGCGGAACAAAACTCAACAAAATATGGCCCATCAAAAATTGACGAAAAATCAGATTTTGCTGTATTTCGTGCGAACTCAATGATTCGATGACAAATTCGAATATGATCCGCAAAGTGCCAACAACTTTTCACAGTAATTTTGAATAGTACCAATAGTGAAAGGCATTATATATAAAAGTTGAAGGGAACAAAGCGGGACTTTATGATTTATGGGGCTTCAAATACAGGCCAAAAACAAGATTTTCCGAAATTTGATGCGAACTCGATATATCGAAGCCAAATTCGAACATGTTGCTTTATTTGCCGACAAATTTTGACAACGATTTCGATGAAATGTACAAGTCAAGTGTCTAACACCAAAGTATGATCAACAGCGGAACAAAACTTAACAAAATATGGCCCTTCAAATTTGACAAAAAATCAGATTTTGCTGTATTTCGTGCGAACTCAATGATTCGATGCCGAATTCGAATACGATCCGCAAAGTGCCGACAACTTTAACAGTAATTTTGAATATTACCAATAGTGAAAAGTATTATATAAAAAAGTTGAAGGGAACAAAGCGGGACTTTATGATTTATGGGGCTTCAAATACAGGCCAAAAACAAAATTTTCTGAAATTTGATGCGTACTCGATATATCGAGGCCGAATTCGAATATGATCCGCAAAGTGCCGACAACTTTTAACAGTAATTTTGAATAGTACCAATAGTGGAAAGCATTATATATAAAAGTTGAAGTGAACAAAGCGGGACTTTATGATTTATGGGGCTTCAAATACAGGCCAAAAACAAGATTTTCTGAAATTTGATGCGTACTCGATATATCGAGGCCGAATTCGAATATGTTGCTTTATATTCCGACAACTTTTGACAACGATTTCAATCACATGTATAAAACAAGTGTCTAACACCAAAGTATGATCAACAGCGGAACAAAACTTAACAAAATATGGCCCTTTCAAAATTGACGGAAAATCAGATTTTTACTGTATTTCGTGCGAACTGAATGATTCGATGCCGAATCTCGAATATGATCCGCAAAGTGCCGACAATTTTTACCCAGTAATTTTGAATATTAACCAACAGTGAAAAGTATTATATAAAAAGTTTAAGGGAACAAAGGCGGGACTTTATGATTTATGGGGCTTCAAATACAGGCCAAAAACAAGATTTTCTGAAATTTAATGCGTACTCGATATATCGAGGCCGAATTCGAATATGTTGCTTTATATTCCGACAATTTTTGACAACGATTTCCTTCACACGTATAAGACAAGTGTCTAACACAAAGTATGATCAACAGCGGAACAAAACTTAACAAAATATGGCCCTTCAAAATTGACGAAATCAGATTTTGCTGTATTTCGTGCGAACTGAATGATTCGATGCCGAATTCGAATATGATCCCGCAAAGTGCCGACAACTTTTACAGTAATTTTTGGAATATTACCAACAGTGAAAGTATTATATAAAAAAGTTTAAGGGAACAAAGCGGGACTTTATGATTTATGGGGCTTCAAATACAGGCCAAAAACAAAATTTTCTGAAATTTGAAGCGAACTTCGATACATCGAGGCCAATTCGAACATGTTGCTTAATTTGCCGACAATTTTTGACAACGATTTCGATGACATGTAAAGTCAAGTGTCTAACACAAAAGTATGATCAACAGCGGAAACAAAACTTAGCAAAATATGGCCCTTCAAATTTGACAAAAAAATCAGATTTTGCTGTATTTCGAGCGAACTCAATGATTCGATGCCGAATTCGAATATGATCCGCAAAGTGCCGACAACTTTTAAAGTAATTTTGAATAGTACCAATAGTGAAAAGTATTATATATAAAGTTGAAGGGAACAAAGCGGGACTTTATGATTTATGGGGCTTCAAATACAGGCCAAAAACAAGATTTTCTGAAATTTGATGCGTACTCGATATATCGAGGCCGAATTCGAATATGTTGCTTTATATGCCGACAACTTTTGACAACGATTTCGATGACATGTACAAGTCAAGTGTCTAACACCAAAGTATGATCATCAGCAGAACAAACTTAACAAAATATGGCCTTCAAATTGAAAAATCAGATTTGCTGTATTTTGTGCGAACTCAATGATTCGATGCCGAATTCGAATATGTTATTTTATTTTCCGACAACTTTTGACAAGATTTCGTTTACACGTATAACCTAAGTATCAAACAACAAAGTATGATTACCAGCGGAATGAAAATTAAAAAAATAATGCCTTTCAAAATTGATGAAAATCAGATTTTGTCATATTTATTGCGATATCAACTATTCGACCCCGAATTCGAATATGTTAATTTATTTTCCGACAATTTTTGACTATGATTTCGTTTATATGTATACCTCAAGTCTACAACAACAAAGTATGATGACCAGCGGAATTAAAATTGAATAATTATGGGCCTTCAAAAATTGATAAAAATCTGAATTTGTCATATTTGGTGCGAGATTCGACGCCAACTTCGAATATGTTATTCTATTTTCCGACAACTTTTGACAACGATTTCGTAAACATGTATAACTAAAGTGTCCACCAACAAAGTATGATCACCAGCAGAATGAAAATCAAAAAAATATGGGCCTTCAATAGTTGTTTGAAAATCAAATTTTGTCATATTTGGTGCGATATCGATTCTTCGACGCCAAATTCAAATATGTTATTCTATTTTCCGAAAAATTTTGACAATGATTTCCTATAGCATGTATATATAATTCTAGAGTGTTAACGGATTAAGCCGTTATTTCAAAATATCAGTCAGCTGTGGGCTCGGTGATGTTCGCCTGGGATAGATTATAATTGATAATTACACGGA